GTTTTTTACACGTCTCACATTCTGTGAACATGCGCACATGGTGAGTTAGATTGCGCGTAACTCGGAGAAATAAAAACATTCCAGCTTCGCTTTACACGCGACATTCGTCGGGGGATTAATCCGATACGTCATCGTTGTTAGGTCATACCGAGAAATTAGGCGCATTTTCTCCATTGTTCTTGTTTCTTCCGCGCCGAAATGTTCAAATCAAGCTAAGGTAGAAGTGGGTTCATGTTGATACACTCAAGCAGAATAGTATTCATCGCTGTGTTTACTATTATTTAGGGCTTTTACTATTATTATAATGGCTTAACCGACATTTCGAAATTCGTCGTTAGGCCGATTATACAATAACGTAAAACGCGTGTAACGAAAGGGTCATGTTGATCAACTTGAACTGATCAGCGCAACACTTTTCAGGCTAAGACAACATTTTGGGCCCTTTTAGAAGAAAAAGTACACCTTGTTAAATTTATTTATTATTGACACCTGTTCATCCTAATCGCAGAAAGCAAATTAACTTTGTGCATATTCCATCTTTGCCGTGTGTTTTCGAGCGTTTGATCATTCGGACGGACCCCGGCAAAGCTTGGGTCAAGGACCGAAATTTCTCAAAATGACAAGTATAACTAATAGAAACCGCTTGCAAAGATTTTCCTGCAATGGCGGTAATATCCAAGCAGAATGCAGTGAAGTGTATAGTGCGTCTATTGCGTGACGAAGAACGATATCGTGGCGCTTTTGTCCTCCGCACATTTCGCACCAGCGAATCACAAGCATTCCAAGCTGCTCGCCGCACATTGCGTCATCAGCGGTAGCCACTGACCAATAGTGGCTGATAATATAGAATAAACATGACTTTGAATTAAGTAATCAAATACTCTCTCGAGGCTTATTCCCTTATCGCCTGAAGGAATGATATGAAATCAATGAACCCGTTGTGCGTGCTTCGTCAAGGCAAAAACGAGAGGCAAGTACAGTGGTTCGTTCGCCTGCTCACCCAGCAAAGACACAAAGGAAGCACACCAGTCTTCGTTTCGAAACGACGCCTATAATTCACTGCCTGCTAGTCTCGCAACAACCTAAGCCTAAGAGCTGTACCACCCTCCCCTGCTCCATGTAGAATATCATGGCCGGCGTTTAGCGTTGCTTGTAAGCACCAAGTGGAGCAGGTGCGTCGCCCCATCTCGAGGGGGCTGGGGTGGAAGGCAACAGCAGAAGCTGCCGCAGTATACCAAGGGCGTTGCGTGTATCCGGTGGCCACGGCGGTGGCTCGGCCTCCCCTCATTTCCACCACCTCAAAACTTCCTCGCTTTTGGTGCTTTTGTTTTTAGTCAACTGCGGGGTGACCGCCTCGGATGGGGCCTCTTCCGCCCGGCAGGCAAAACTAAGACCTGCCCCTTCTCTCCGCTGCCGCATGCAGACGGGGATCGCACCTGCCGTGGCAAGGTGGTGGGCACAACGCAAGTGGGGCACTGCTAAAGGGAGGCGATGTCTAGGTTGGGCAGAGAGAAAATTTTCAGCCACGAGTGTATATTATCACTACATTTGTGATAGGCAGCCTTTGAGTGAAACAGCGACGCGTTTTAAGATGGTCGGCAGTTGGAAAGTGGCATACCGAAGTTCATCAGATGTAAGTTACGAGAACGTCTGTTGAGCCTTGCGTTTTTGTTTTTGACGAAATTGCACATTGGGTAAGTTGACGCATTAAAATATTGTATTGCTATATAGCACAGCTCACTTGGAGCATGAAGAAAAGAAGCAACAGGGACAAGTGAAACAGAGGAAACATGATGTTGCGTGTGTTACCTTGTTACCTGCGTTTTCCTTCTTCATGCTGAAACTAGGTGTGTAATAGTAATACGATATTGTGTTTAAAAGGCAACGCCCAATAATCAAACTGAAAGTCGGTGTGGCGTGCCTGTGACTAACATGACTATAACAGTTGCCAAATATGCGAGAGTAGCCGTGTTTTATGGTCTACTGTCAATTCGCATCCACTTTCATGGGAAATGTACTTGCATCGTGCGCTAAAGAGACATACTGAAGGCAGGAATATGGCGATTCTTGTGCAATGTTCAAAAGTATAAGGCAAATAACGCGGTGTCACAGCCCATGCAATGCCGTGGCCATAGTCAACATTTTGGTAAATTTCTGTTTTATGTTCTGTTGTATTCTGGCTACGTCTTGGTCAACAGGCATAATATAGCTGAGTGGTTGCCATACCACGAACACAAAATTAAGAAGCGAGGATGTGTGATGAAAGGAGTCGGCAAATATTGAAATTATCTTCACAATTCGCTACGTGGTTCATTTTGAGCGACCACTCACATCACCCGTGAACACACAGGCTTTATTTACACTGCTTCTTAGAATGGCGTCTACGTTAATAAAACTGTTGGCTGCATGGCCGCATAGACAATTGGAGCCTAAGAAGTAATTGTATATGGTCTACCCTTAGCCATCGCTTCCCCGTCCAGAAAATTTGAATAGGTGTAATATGATACAGGATTCTACGTCGCAGAACCACGATATCAGTATGGGAGATGCTGTAGTGGAGGGTTGGGGAAATTTCGGCTACCTCGTGCTCTTTCAGGTGCATTGACGTGGCACAGTGCCTCTCCCATTTCACCTACACTCAAATGAAACCACCGTGGTCAGTATCAAAACCACAACCCCCAGATCACCCTACTGAAACGTTCCGTATGCGAGTCCGATAGTTCCATATGTTTCCATACGGAACCCATGTGTTTTCCATATATTTTTGTAAGATTCTTACAGAGACATACGGAATCATTGGACATCGCATACGGAACGTTTCAGTAGGGCAGTAGCATAGCACAGTGACCACTGATTCATCATGGCGGAGTATTCGAGTAGCTGATCGTGCCGCACAAGTATTTTAATACAACGAGCACACGCAAGCGCTACATGCGCTTATGCCCTGAAACCATGCTCGGCCAGTGCATCCTCTATATTTGCGCTGTCTCAGCGTATTTAGTAGAAACGCCATGTCCTCCAAACTGCAGTAATACGCAACAAAATAACTACTGAACAGGCAAGGTGCCTTACTACTAAAGCATGTGTTTTGATCAAAAGGTAAACGCTTCAAATTAAATTACCATACGCACTACGGTTTAGGGTTAAGAACAAACGGTCAACAATTTAGAGTACGGTGAAGTACTCTACTATGGGAGAGAAACAGGCGGTCCCGACATGAACAGAGCGACAGCGAAGAACATGTGCTTGGAAAAAGTGTTCAGCGATATAGAATACTTCGTATTCTACTATAGGAGGGCAGTGAGCCGCCCCAGAACTCAATGCGTTTAGAAATACTCGGTGAAACCTGTGTTTAGAACAAATGTTGGACGATTTAGAGTGCGAAGTACTCTACTGCTGGAGAGCAATAAGCTATCCCAGTATCAGTCGCTACAATCGATTTACAGTACCTAGAAAGGGACGACAAATCCGTTAACGCCTGTGTGTTTAACGATTTATAGTGCATAGTACTCTGCTAAGACAACGCACAGAACCGTCCCCCTGTGTGCTTAGAAGAAGTGGTTAACGATTTACAGTACTGTACTACGGGAGAGCCGAAAGCCGTCCCTTGACGACATCCGGTATCATCCACTGACGCAGCTCTTAGAATTATATACGTCAGGCTGCAAGTAGTTTAAATTACCCAAGAGTAATTTAAACTTACGCATTAGTGAAGCTGGTTTATGGTATGAAACTTGAACTTCCGAACAAATTTCGAGAGAAACTTCGGGGTTAATACTGAAGCAAATCAAAGGCTACAGGCAGAATTGGGTGATCTTTATTTTGCCACTTGTCTAGTACGTTCATTAGGAGAGAGAATGCACGCACGCTCAGAAGTGAAACAACATGTCACAGTTATTTCACGTAAGCCAAGGGCAGAATCAGCTCGGTTCAGAGGAGGTTAAACACAAAGTGACTAGTGACGAGTGGGTGAAACTAAGTCTTAAAGTCCATACCGTCTACATTGAAGTCGCCGTATAGTATAAAAGGTTTGTGCTTGCAGGCATTTTAAATGGTTCTGTTGCAATTGTGAATAATATAAAACTGTTGATAGGAATTTGATAGTTAGGAACTGTTAAGAACTTCAAATAAAATCATATATTCATAATCTCAGATACAAATTTGATGAAAAATTGATAGCATACGCGCGCAGTGAATGATAATGAGTCGGGCGAAGCATCCGTTCATCCGTCCGTCTGTTCATCGGCCCCCTCCTATAACACTTGAACATGCATCAGACGGATGCATGACAAAAAAAAAACTTTAGAAATAACACAGTCGTTTCGGCTCCAGTACGGGAGCCTTATTTAGCCCCCATACCGGTGCCGAAACGCCTGTGTTATTTATTAAGTGTCTTTTTTTTAATGCGAATGCATTTCTTAGTCGGGCGTCCGTCTGGATCTGTCCACCGCCCTCTCCCATAGAAATTAACAGCTGCGGGTGCGCGCGTCCATAGGAACCGGAGCCCCCACAATGTCACGCTTCGGCGTCGGCAACTGTCAGCAACAGCTTTGGGCTCACGAGCTTATCCTCGCCCCTAGCAACCAGATCCCCCACCTCTTTACTGGAACGTGACTTGATACGGCCTCAATGCAGTGCGTTTGAAACGCGTTTGTAGCGTTTCTTTAACCGTGCACGCTAGCTATTAGAGCTGGAAACGCATACTACGTTTCTCGCGACAGAAAAACGCCCCGTGTGGTGAGCGATCGCACGGTGTAAGAAAAAAAAAAGAAAACGTTATTCTTCTAACGCTGGGTTCTCACGTGCGAAACGCCGTTATGGGCATTTGCATTTCCTCACGATTCCCTTTGGGGACGTTGGGCCATTTTTTGGTCGGCGTCTTTTTTTTTTTTTAGCATTTGACCATGATTGCTCCCGACCAAATGATCTTTCGTCAACCTCTTGATTTGATGCCACGTTACTTGTATGTGAAGCTCCTTCGCTCTCCTCTGTCTGCGCAGGAGCCAGCGTGGTCATGCGGGAGGCTTGCCGCAATGGCGGACCTTCTTCGGCGTCTTCCCGCTCCGAATTCCGGGACCTCGGGAGGAAGCGGTCGGCGCCGGTGGTGCCGCGGGAAGTGCGCGCCGCCGTTTCTGGGCAGCAGTGAAGCACGGGGTCCACACTATCACGCCCTTGCTGTGACGTGGTGGACCTGCCGGAGGAAGTGGAAATGGCGGGCCCAGACCATGTGCCGACCCTGGCCGAGAGGCTCTACCAGGCAGCCGTGGCCGGACAGACGGACACCGTTGTCGAACTGTGTCGCATCGGAGCGAGGATCGAAGCGGATGCGGTAAGTAAAGTGTGAGAACTGTACCGTAAATAGCAGGCAGAACAGCGGTTTTGATATTTGTGTTTTACGCCTGCAAATAGAGAATTCGAAAGAATCAAAAAAGAAAGTATAGGCGCAGTATAATTTCGATGCCTGCTCCAGGCGACTCAAATTATTTTCTGTCTAGCCTAAACGCGGAAACCTTAATAAACTCGGGCTGCTGTACGTTGTCATCGCTGGGCATAACGCAGACAAAACCACGTATAAAAACCGAAAAATAGAGCAAGCAGGTGAGAAATAGACAAAGTTAGAATAGTATATAGGAAATATATTACGAAAAAAAAACAGGAATACCAATGAAAGACAGCGAAATAGATTAGGAGTGAGAAACAAGTGCATAGAATTAACGAGAAAAAAAAAGGACAGAAGGAAAACGGAATGAGAAAAGAACAAAGGCAGCAGGAAGAAAAGATAAAACGGAATGAAAAACAATAAAAATCTCAACATATCCACGGAGTGAATGATGATGAGTGGCGCGAAGCGTCCGTCCGTCCATTCGTCCGTGTGCCCATTCGTTCATGCATGCGTCCATGTGTCCGATCGTGTTTGAGAACTCAGACTGCGCGCGAGTAACAACGACGAAACACGAGCAAAGCAAGCCGAGCGCAAGCGTCTTCAATGTGGCCGCCGCTCTGCTTCGTCCATGTCCCATCAACGATCCGTCATGTACGGTGACTATCCAGGAGACTGAGAGAAGCAGTCTTTCTTCTCGTACCCAGGCACAGCCCGCACCGCAGCTAATCAGACAGTAGCGGTACAGCGCCATCTAGAATATTCTCACTCAACCGCAGTTTGTATGTACTTCTATAAGACAGCGCCGCCTATTACACTGTTCGGGAGATACTGACTTCTTTTCTTTCTCGTCTCTTCTTTTCTCGGTTACGTGTGAAGCATGACACGGTTAGAATAAAAGGAGCTTCGCCCCTGAAAGGCCAGCTTCTGCCGCACTTCCTCGCAGGCTTGGCGCCACCAGGGCACGTCTGCCTTAATTTTATCTTCCTCAAGATTATATAATGTACCACTGTTACTGAAAAGCCTGCACTTAAGGCGTGGTACGGATACTGGGCTATTGCAACGAGCGCTCTTGTCTAATAGTTTTTTGGGTGTAAGCCGTAAAAGCGGGTCACAGTAGGCTGCAAGGCTGTGTCGCTTTGGGTTAGACAATGTTTTATATCTCCATGTGCGAATACATCGTATGGGTCATGGTGGTATATGTCTGGTCTGCATAAAATGTCTCGATGAGAATGAAGACACGATGAGAGTTACACTCGGAATAACGCCATTTTGGGCATGCCGCTGTTGTTTTTTTTTTTCAAGCCTCCGGTGGTCAACACGGAATGAGGATGGGTTGAAAACGGACCAAAACAAGCGTTGAGTGCGTGTAGCACTGCTGACCGCCTGTTTTCACGCGGTCGTTTTCTTACGTCGCTGTACGCTGAAAATAATTTCACGACGAAGATAAGGTTAAAGAATGAAACAAAATGTGCTTAGTCCAAAATAGCAGGAGCCCATCGATATTCCAGTCCGATTTCACGAATTAAAGATTGAGTCATTCATATTATAAATATTTAAATGCGTTGAACATGCATTGTACAGAGTATACAGATGTTCATTCCTTGTTATTGTTTAAATTCCAAACGATGCAATACAGAAAACGTACCAAGCAAAAGTTGCCCGTAACAGCAAACATATCCAATGTTTCACGACTTACAGACTTGACGACATTTGTTTATTAGATTTGTTTACATCGCTTTGAACACCGAGGCCACTTCATGAAAGTCATGTAGCCAAGAGCTCGTTGTTCCTTAAGTTTTTGAAAAGCGTGTGCGAAGTAAATGCATATCCTACGCCGTAATTGGAATCTTGTCACAGCAACAAAACAGAACGCAGAAAGCGCGTTGTTTTTATGAACAAACAAAATAATATAGTCTAAGGCTCGACAAAAACTCGTCAGGCGAGCGTGATTCATTGAATAAATGTGTTTATTTTTCTTTGTCAAATGTGTTATATTTGTGTTTCTGTTTTAAATAAGTGCTGTTTTGAATTCTTTCAGTAAATAATTAGCATCTTTGGCTGTTCACTTTTACATTGAACTCACTGTTTTGTTTAATTATTTCCTTCAATTTTCGTCACAGTCTAAGTTTGTGCTGACTACACGTAAGTTCAAGTTACTACGCTCCTCTTAGTCAACTGAATACGTAGTCCTGGGGACGTTTTAAATTATCGGCCTATTTCATATTTGAAAAAAAAAACAGCGCATTATGACACGATGCTCTTAATATTATTGCGAACCAACAGACAATAATGACAGGGAAAGTATATGGAATGGTATTAGAACTTATTGTGGTGTAAATACGAAGAAAGAAAAGTGGACGACAAGATAACTTGTCCCCGGCAGGGTCTGAACTTGCGACCTTCGAATAACGCGTCCGATGATCTAACAATGAGCAATGGTGGCGGTCATCTTAACGGTGATTTAACAGAAGGTTATTCGGAGTGCGCTCGCGTTCGCAGTGTCGCGATTCCCTCGCACGTTCCCGTGCAAACCGCGCTGCGTAGCACGTGCGGGCTGGTGTATACATAACGACCGACGACACCCGCAGCCGCAAAGAGGACACGTGACCTACTTGCAACAATGGCCTTTAGACGAGGCGTTTCACGCGTGCGGACCCTGGAGCGCTCATCAACGTCATCTTACATCGTGTTCCCCGGGCGTTGAAGCGGGTTGTGCGATATTGCGGTGGGGCATCTAAGTATTTGCCTTGGTCGAGCATATCTCGACCTGGGCGCGCCGCTATAAATAACCGTTGGGGGCGCGCATACCTTGTGGACCTCCGTACGTGCCAGAGCTCTATTCCCACAAGCGCCGTGTGTGTGGTGTGGATGGTCGGTAGAAGCCGGCCGCATGGTATAAGCATTCTTCGTAACCACTGGGACAGCGGTTTGTGCAGGGAGGTTATCGTCCCGCCGTACACTGAGTTTTGTTTTTCGCGCACACGCACACGTACAATACCTGCCATGACTGGACCCGATAGAAGATTCTTATCTTATTTTGCCCCATTCGTCATCTATAGTATAACTGTACTATAACACATTTGCCAAAGTACATGGTGATTCACTTATAAAATCTCGGAATAAGTCTGCTCTAGACAATCATGCCACAAGGGTGTAGTCACTGTTCCTATAGCCCGCGGACCTGCAAACTTTCGTCTCCTATTTTGGGCGAAGTTTGTAATTTAGAAAAGAAGAAACAATTGTCTATACTCTAGCTGCAGGAAATCAAGTAATGGTTCTTGAAAGCGGTGCCGGTGTCACGGCGGTCACAAACGATCAGATACAAGTGCAGCGCTCTTTGACTAACCTAAATGGTATTAAGAATAAATAGTAATAGCGAACGCTTTCTTTCCGTTCACAAGTCCCTATAGCGGGTTACGAGGCTCAATATTGACAAATGTGCTGCTGTACTGCTGCTAATTGCAGGGTATAATTACGATGGCGTAATTTGCGGGGTATAATATCATCGCAACACAAAGTAACTCCCGCCAGCTATCTGCGTGGGGGCTACCAAGTAGTATGCGCGAACGTCTTTTGCGACTTCCAGACTACCTCACGAAGGGTCTAAAAATTTAATTTTTTTCAAATATATGAGGATCTTCTCTAATTTCATTATGAAAAGATCAAGAAAATGTGGTCGAAACATATGAATGATTGTATGGCCTCACTGAAAATGCCGGCCTCGAATATCAAGTAATAATCCTGCCGTTCCTTCGTGGTGGTGCAGAGAGCGTTACGAAGCGTGGCTGAAGGAATATTTCGCATCTACATCGCGAAAGACTGGTTATGCGTCTTGGCGGTGATGTATCCTGAAGTGCTGAGAGGGGAGAGCTAATCGCGGGCCAGCAGCTCCCCTCCAAGGCTGTTACCTTTTTGCACTCCCCTGACGGCTCTCTTGTGGAACCCTTTTTCTTTTTACCTTGCTTGATTTTTTTTTCGTTTGAATGCGTAAGCGTATGTGCTTTCTTATATCCTGAATACAAAAGATGGAGGCGAATCCGTATGATACATGCAAGGACCAAACGTTGAGCCATTGGGCAAAAGGTCAATTTATAACGGCAAGAGCTTTTTGCCGTTAACGATGAGCTAAGGGTCCCTACGCTTGCCCGTGGAGATATAATAACAAATGGTTGCAGACCACCGCAGAAAATGTTGATTAGGGTGGCGGGAGAGAAAAAAAATGAATATGATGATCTGGAAGCGACTGGCATAAATGAAAATGGCGGGTCAAACTTCGAAAAACGAACATAGACCCCAGGAGTCTGGGATGTTCCGATAAGCTTCGAGAAGTGGGTCGTGTGAGAGGCGGTTCATTTTAAAAGTACCAGCAGGCCTTGGCGCTTTTAAGCACTGAGGTCCAACTGTGAATTCGGTGTTGATTTTGTGCTTTGGCCCTTATGTGTGCCATTTACGACTTCGTATAAGTGCCACATCGAGACTCAGGACTAACTGCACACATCATCTACCACCACAGGTTGTTTTATAAAACAAGCGACATTTACTACCCTATCTAGTTAACTAAAGGTTGCGTTAGGTTATGCTATGCTGGGTTAAGCAATGTAAAATTGCCTTCCGAATACTGTCATAGGTATGCTGACGTCAGGGTTCAGTGCTACTGATTGGCTCAGCCGGCAGTTTTGCGACTCCTGTCAGCTGATGCATTGGCCAATGAACGACTTCGACAAAAATGATAATTTTTACCACCTCCAATCTCCTAGTTTACAGTGCAAACGCATTTTTGTCTTTTTTTTTTGCCCTCTTTATGTCGTTCGGGTCGCGCCATCCCTTACCTGCACTTCACGGAACCTTACCAACCATTTCAGCTTTTCAGCCTGCTGAAGCACCAGAGTTGCATTTCTTTCTCTCGATCTAGCTATGAAAAGCAGTGTTTATATTTTTTATTTTGTTATTGTTATTGTTGTTATAGTCGCTGCCGTACACGTTCTGGTTGTGTTGTTAAAGTAATTAGGTGAACAGTTAAAAAAACAGGAAAGAACTGAATTGTTTGGTGCATTCTGTCGAATACATTCTGCTGACACCCGAATGGTGGTGAAGATGCCAGTTCGAAAGTGAAGGACAGTAGCTAAAAATAAACACAGTCACTAATTCCATGCATGCTCTGGAGTGAAAGAGCGATACGGATATTGGATACCAACCCATCAAATCCATTCAAGCAAATAGACATGTCGTGTCTCATTCGACCGTTTCTGCATCGCTTTTTGCACACTATTATGACGTTAGTTCACGCCGTAAACCTTATCACAGAACGCTGTGTGCGCGTCGTACCTTCGTGTCATGTCTTTCTTGTGCCGATAGGTGTTAAGATAGCATGTCAACAAGTCCAAGTTCATCTTCCCATCACAGAACAGACTGTGTATAGGAGGAATGGCGCAGTGTTGGAGTTGATGTTATTGAAGAATCACCAAGAACTGAGCGTGATAACGTGGCTAAGTATGTGTGCATATATACCTCCTCTCTCGCGCAGGAGGGTCGCACGGCTCTGCACATGGCCGCTGCCAACGGCTACGTCGACACCGCCCGAGCTCTCATCTTAGCCGGAGCCAAAGTCAACGCCCTGGATGCTGTGAGTACACTTTGTCTATATCGCCACACGTGCTGCTTTTCTTCTATTTTCGTGTTATTACCTTATTACACGTGTAACTGCTGCCCTGCGCAAAGCGCGCCACAATGACTAGAAACTCTCTGGATAATCTAGAACGTTCCTCTATACATGCTAAACGCGAACGTTGGAGTTCGTTCTGGAACTTACACTGCCGCCAGTAGTAACGCTGGAATCTTCGATGATACATGTGTAAAAGCTTGCGCCGACTAACCGCTTGTCAGTTTACCTACGACCAACGCTTTGCGCACCGATAATATTCTATAGCGTGCATCGCATGCTTGCCGTACTTTGAGTTTTTGTATAACGACCACAAGTCCGGCCTAATAAAAACTTTCAACTTGAAGAAGCCAACTTCTGCCTTCGTCCACGTCATGACCAAAAACAATGTGCCATTTAAAAGTCTTCGTCCACAAATTGAACAACCACCTGATTGCAAAGCTGTCGGGGCTCTTACTTTAGGTGGCATCGCTATCAGCCGAGCATTATACAGCATCAGTAGTGGTGCAATACATTTCACTGGGCTGACACGCACATAATCTATATTGCTTTGATATAGCTACTTGTGACTGTTTTCATTAACTCATAGAGACAAAGCCTGAGGAGAGGTGGTGGAGAGGAGGATGTTGGTTTCGAAGGCAGGCATATCGACCGCAAGAAGCGTAAGTTGATGAGGAGTGCGCTGATGAAGAGGAGGCAGGGATATTTTGACATAGGAAAGGAAAAGATGGCAGGTCTGAGCTAGTGGTATGCTTTTTTCATCTGTACAATGCTTGCGCAAAGGATAATTGAGAGAGCCGAATGATGATGATGATGATTTCTGTTTTTTTTTTTAAATTTTGATATACTGACGGTAATTTAGAGTGCCAGAACACACGAACGACAGGATATGGTAGGCCCTTGCGAATGTGTGTTTTCGCACTCAAAATTCCCGTCAACTATATATATATATATATATATATATATATATATATATATATATATATATATATATATATATATATATATATATATATATATATATATATATATATATATATATATATTTACCATCTCGCCGAATTTCAAGTTGTGTTAAATCGATAATACTGGTTACTCCTGGTGCTGCTATGAGTGAAACGTCACAAAACAACACTACATACCTAGTTCGAATTTGGGCCACCATATTAAATTCACCGGCGCTCACAATGCTCTTATGCTGTCTCTTATCGCAAACGTGAGATTGAGTACTTGTACATATCGATTCCATACATCAGTGAAGAAAAATATAAAAAGTCCAAAAAATCTTTCGGGCGAGAAAGTTTTGGCAGAGGTATGCCTATTGTGCAACCGCTGACGCCATCACAGAAGCCTTAAGGGCTTATCGCAGCGGGTGCGAACATTTCGAAGAGGAAACAAACGCCGCTACCTTCTCGAGAAATCTGGGTATAAAAGCGAAAACGTATCGCAACGGCCATCAGGGAGCGCGTGCGCCAAAAACTGCGGCGTGTACGCCGAACGCACCAAGCGGATACAGGGCCACCGCTTCAGCGGCGTTGCGTTATCGGTTATAATTTATGCTATAGTCCCTTGATAACGAGCGAGGAATATAAATTATGAAACATAAGCAGGATACGCGACCATGAGCAGTCACCTCAGCGTTTGCGCACGAAAAGCATGCGAAGCGAACGCTGTAGGGAGAATGGAAGACACGGTCAAGGCGGGATTGCAGAACGAGAACTGAAGGACATTGCGGCTAAGACGTCCGGTGTGTTGGGAACGAGAGAGAATATAGAGTGGGAGATTTCAGCGGTTAGAGAGACTATAGAGGAGTGTACCGAGTGTGAGGAATGATCATAACCGCTGCCTTTATGCGTGTGTCGTGGCCACCTGGCGAAGAGGTCGCAAAGACGAGCCGAAAGCGTACGTGCCTCGCATATTAGGCTCAGGAAGCACGATACCAAGTAGGGGGATGTGAAGATTGGCCAAGCGTTTTGATTTCGGCATGGAACACGCATACTGGCTTTTCAGCACACAGATGGCACATTAGATCGGCTCTTTCTTCATTGACTTCATTTACTTTTTTTTTAGACTGCGGCTGGGTGTTGCATACACGCGACGATACTTATGCATGATAGGACAAGAGCAAAATCCTAACTGCAACTTGTGTAACACGCCAGAAACTAATAATCACATCTTGTGTGTGTGCCCTTTATACGCAGTTGAAGGACAATCTCTTAAGTGTCTCACAGATGACCTAGACTGCCGACCCTTTTCGGAAGAGAAACTTTTGGGTGCTTGGGAACGTGTGGATCATGCTCGACGCAGTTTAAAGGGCCTGCTCGCATTTCAAAGCAAGACAGGTTTATAGATTCCCGTCTTTAGAGAATCTGATAATGTAGACTTTTGTGCGTGTACTACACCGAACGAGACATTGTGTGCAGTGACTCATTGTGCTATACCACAGTCACCCCTCATCATGCCCTCCTCTTTCTTTCCCCTTTCCCCTTACCCCCGTGTGGAGTAGCAGGCCAGAAACCCGCTTTCAAGGCCGATCTCTCCTCCATCTTCTCATTAAACACCTTCTTCTTCCCGCAGATAAAACTTCACACTCTGGTTGAGAAACATGGCACATCAAGGCCCTGTCCAAATGCGGAGTGAAAATAGATTGGCGATCGAGATGTATTACGTAAACATGCACTACATTGGGGACGAGACACAAGAGTAGAAGCAGACAGGACGGACACAAACTAAAACATGACTTACTGAAATGACATAAACTGTCCTTCTGGGACAATGCGCGTCCACAATGGCACTCATGATCACGTGACAAAAAAATACACTCCTCCGCAATATTATCTACACAAGAAAAATCAAGCCCTTTCCTTGAAAAATACGCACTTATCTGGACCACGTATAGCTATTCAAGAGGCTTCTTGGATTTCACGTGTCCTTGGGCCCTGACCTAACCTAACGTCTTCGTGTTACTAAAGATAGGCGTACACTTCTTCGCACATAGATAGACATGTGGGGTTTAGCCTCCCCAAACCACCACATCACTATGAGGGACGCCGTAGTGGAGGACTCCGGAAATTTTTACCTCCTAGGGTTTTTTAACGTGCACCCAAATCTGAGCACATGGGCCTACTTCTTCGCACATGCGCTGCAATCATAACAACATAACATTTTGGCGGTTAAAATTTTGCTCGATTAAACCACTCTTCGGCAGAGATGACATACAAAAGGATTCAGGCAATAAGATTCCTCGATTCAGTGCAAGTATTACTTGCCAACATACGTAAGCATGAAACGCATAAAAATGACTATAACAACGCTATTTATTACGCAGGCTGTTGCGAGATATTATTTGCGATGCGTATGCGCATACGTTAATACTTCCCAACAACGACATGCAGTTTCCTCCGGAGTTCTTCTCAAGACTTCTGGGGCGCACATCTTCTTCGCAATGCTTATCGGTCGCATGCCTTTCAGTAGGGTCCTTCCTCTTTTTGAATGTAGCTATGGCTCCCACAACTTCAAAACGAAAGTGAGTGAAAGAGCGCAAGAGCGAGAATCGCGAGAGGCGACGCCGCTAAAGACCGATGACCAGCGAAAGCTTGCACAAGGTCTGCGCAGAGAGAGTCCGCGTTGCGTTTGCAAGCGCGGAGTATGCATACACAGAGAGGCGCCTGTGGCCGTTCACGCTTACGGAGTTCCGAAATCGTGGAGGCGACGCGCCGTGCTCGCAAGACCGCCTCCCGTGATGGATGATGCTTTAATGCACGTCGAGCAACTTATGTATACGCCGTATGGCTGCTGCCGCTTATAAGCCGGTACTAGAGCGAGAGGAAAAGTGACCATCCGTCGTTTGCGTGCTTGGGCTCCGTTGCGACGATTTCCCGGGTTACGCAAGCGGGGCATCGACCCAACACGTGTTGTGACAGCTCTCGAGTTAGGTTGGCGATAATTGGGATGGTTATGAATACGCTGCCTGCGGATTGCTTGACTATAACATTGCCTATTTTTCATCGTATATTTGTGGAAACATGAGTCCTCTCCCCTCCCTTTCTTTTTTCTGCACCCTACCTGTCTTTTTGTTAGCAGCATCCTTTCTGAAAAGCTTTTCAGTGTGCGGTTAGGTTGGAATAATATAAAAGGGTGCCTGAGACGGGCTGGTTGATGTTTGGATCAGGGGACCTTTCACTGTCAAAGGTGCCTTGTCGTCCTTGGCGTGCCACTTTTAAGCGGGCTTTTGACGTCGTGTTGCGTGTAGTCACAGTGAGTACATGCAACGACCGTACAGCGATATTATCTTCACTTCTCGCTGCATCTGCAGCGTGACTGCTTTTCCTAGTTAACTTTTCTTTAGATATCTTCCGTCAATTCTGAAGTCTAATAATCGCTTGTAACGTATACCTAAATGCATTGTAGGTCTTGTAAAACACGTCATGTGCAGCGTCTACCACACATCGCTATGGTGGTCGAAGCTTCCAGCTCCCCTTCTAGCCACCGTAACCAGGTTGCAAGCCTCCTCGTATACATATATTGACCACCCAACCCTACCATTTGACACACTTAAAGTCCGGTGGCGTAATGCCACGTCGGAATGCAAGCACTATAGTCAACGCGGTAGCCCAGACTCACCGTCGGTGGCGCACGCTTGACCCATATTTGGCCCGAAACGCCTTCCTCCCTACCCTCCTCGTACCAGCTCCCCCCCCCCCCAACACAACCCTGTGAGAACAGAGTACAAAAGCATTAGGCGGGCCTTTTGTTCTTGGGAGTGCGGGTGACGCTAACGTCTCACCCCACGGAGTGCAGTGTTCGTTCTCTTTTTTTTTTTCTTCCTTCGAACTTCCTTATTTATACGAGAAGAGTTCGCTGTAACACTGATAGGCGGTACTCAAAAGCCGCTTTGCAGAGGCTAAATGTGTCTGCAATACGCAAGAAAGTACTTTAACACACTCCTCCACCATTTTCCCAAA